GACACCCTTCAACCATGCCTCCTTGGATCGCAGGTGCGGTCTTGGAATATTGGTAGCAATAGGAAATGTTAAGTCTTGATACAAAGGCATAGATTATGAAGGACTTAAAAGTCAGTCATCCAGAGGAGTTTAGATTGAATGCATATTCTGGAGAGAGTTTTGATTAAACCAAGAGGTAAAGAAAACCTAAGCTATATTACTAAGATTAGGAACAGAGAAGAAGGGACACTAGAGGGGGAAAATAAACATTATGGAAAGAGTGATAAGAAAAGGGACATATTTATTTTATTACATCTAACAGTTCAGAGAAGGAATAAAAATTGCTCAGGCACTGTGCCTGGAGATGAATAGATAGGAGATGGTGGTGTCCCAGACAGAAATAGGGAACACGGCAAGGAGGATGAAAGAGAAAGGTCAGAGTTAGAGATGGAGAATTTGGAAGCTTCTGCATAAACGGGATCTTTCAAATCAAAGGATAACCGAAATGCTAAGCCAGTGTGAAGCACTGAGGCCATGGTTCTGAGGGTGTTCCCCTTGGGCCAAGGCTTCTTCCCGCTCCCACTACCTGATTTTGTAAGTAGTCTAATTCAAACAGTCTTGACCTTTCATTCATGTTATATCAATGGTTGCTTTTGTATTATGATGACAGAATTAAATAGTTGAGATATAGACCAAATGACTTTGAAACCCGAAATGTTTATAGAAAATGTTTGCGAACCTCTGTATATAGATAAGGGAAGAGAAAGAGCTACAGAAGAGATAAGTCTCTCACTGAGGCACCATGAAACCAAGAGAATGTGGTCATAAGGAGATCAAAAGAGAAGAGGGCTTCCAAGGAGTAAGTAGATAAAAAGAAAGGATATAGTGGATATCAGGAGGATGAGCTTTGGGGGGAAAAATCTTTGAATGTTAGGACTAGGGGGTAAATGTTATTTCAAAAAACCAATTTCTATATGGACAAAAACCCAACAAAAATACTAAAAAAATCTGTTTCTTTCCCCCTACTCTTTCCTTCTTTAGTATTAAAATATTAGTTAAACATGTAGCACTGTTACAGGTGCTGTTGGAAGACATAAGGCACATTTACAGAAAGTCCAATAAGAAAACGGTACTAGAGATGTAATGAGATAATGTGTATGAAAGTGTAAATGCTACGTGAAATTAAGTTATTTTGCATTAAGGCAATAAATTGTCCAATGTCAGGTACCTGGTTTGGACGTAGTACTTTGCATTTAGAGGTGATAATCAATAAAATGTCAAAGCAGGCTTTGAGAAATTTGAGATTATAGTTTGATGCAAACAGCACAGGCAAATTCTTACTACCTTTGTAATCTTGGGCAAGTTAGTTTCTCTGTTTGACTTGTTCGTCTGTAAAACTGGGGTAATCAGCACCCTTTTCATAGAATATTATGAAGAAATGAGGTGTAAAGCAGCTCATGTGATGTTTGGTGTATAATAATTATTTTAGGAACAGTAACTCTATAGAGCTGGAATAAATGTTTCAATTCATAAACTCAGATGTCCAAGAAATATCTAAGTCACTGATTGTCCTCAAATCAATTTTATCAGGTGTCTATGCCCCATTGTGCCAAGTTGGTAGAATGTGTAACTGTAAATATTCTTAGGGCACCCTGGGGTGGGGGGTGCAGAGCTCCCTAGGAGGCTGCAGTGATCGTAACTATCTGGTCACCTTAGTTATTACAGAGATACCTTTTATTCCTGTTCAAGGGGCCCCTCCCAGGTGCAGCAGTCAGATAGGGCTTGAAGTGAGACTGAGAACCTGTGCCTGGGATCCAGGTTCCCTTGGGGCCTCAGCCAGAGGAGCCTCCCGAACCGCGCTGGCCAGAGCGGAGCAGGTGCTCCCCACCTCCAGGCCCACCGCTGCTCCTCTCCCCAAGCTCCCCAACCCCCCTTGCTGTCCGCCCGCCAGGACACAGAGGATGGCACTTTGGTATCAAATGGTAGTGCCAATATTTTACCTTTTTTGGCCTGCAAAAAATGGCGATTTCGTGTAGTTCAAACTAATAACTATTCAATAGATTCAGCCTTTCTTCCTCCTCTTCTTCTTCTTTTTTTTTTTTTTTTTAATCTAGGAGGGCAACTGACTTCAGCCTGTTTGGGTATTTCAAATAGCAAAAATCCCTGAGCAAAGTAAAGAGGAATAGACTACTTTATTCCAAGACAAAGGAAAATAAGGAAAAATAAAAGTATCTCATTGAATTATCTTGACACATTTATATAGTAACAACAATGCAGCTACTACTACTTATTACTATTTTTATTATTATTGGTATTATAACTGTTCCTCATATCCATCCCCCTTTCTTCATCGACACTGTCATGAGGCCTTTTCTTGCTCATGCGCCACTGGTTGTCTGGCTTCATCTCCCACCTCCCTCACATCAGTCACACTGCAGTCGGGCCAGCCTACCAGCAGCTACCTGTCTTCTCTCCATTATACCAACTCTGGTCTCCTGGAAAGTAGCTCCCCCACCTCAACCTTGTCATGCTGATATACTTCTATTCCTCCTAAAAGACTTTGCTGGCACATGACCTTCTCTGCGTGTTCCTCCTGCCCCCACTTAAAACATCATCTTTTGTGTTTCCATAGTGCCTTACATTTAAAGCACTTAGACATAAGGTGATCAAATAATTTGTCAGTCAAGCTGGGGCACTTTTAAGAATGAAAGAGGATGTTACTATTATTGATGATTGCACCAGAACAACAGACATAAACCAGGCAGACCAGAGTGTATGGCTCCCTTAGTTATCCTTACATTGCTGTAATAATTGTTCCCATTCCATCGTCCCCTGCCCCCACAAACAACACACATACACAGGCAGTGATTCTGGGAAGGTACAGGCCTCAGCATCTAGTATAATGACTGCTGCCACATTAATTGATATATTTAATCATGATAATATTATTGGAGGGTCACATTCTAAACTAGTGAAATGGCATAGACAAACAAAAGGAAACGGGAAGGAACATTTGCAAGGAAAGCAAGGAAACCATTTTGGGGTGAGATGGATATTTGGAGGTGGAAATATAATTTGGGAAAAAATTATGAAAATTCTTGATTCTAGGCAAGGAATTTCTAACAAAGTGGGGGGACAGGGGACGGTTTAAACCAAGGGGAATGGCATGAAAGATAACTGGTAGTTGTATGTAAGATGAATTGGAGGGAGGGAATGGTAGAGAGAACTGCAGAGAATAGATAAGAAAGATGAAATTATGAATGCCCAGACTATCGCTCTTTGTCATTTAACCTTTTATACTTTATGAAAATGTGATGACTCTTCAGATTGCAAGTGACAGGAATTAACCTGGTTTAACCAAAAAAGAAAATTGATCAGCTCAGCTAACATAAATATAAAGGCATTGCTAAATTCGTGTTCTCAAACAGCGTTACCTCATCAGCAATGTCGTCTCCTCCATCTCTTGGTTCTGCTTCTTACTGTACAGGGTTTGTTTTCAGTCAGCTTTTCCCCAAAATGGTCATCAGTAACTTCCAAGCTACTTTCTACCAGCTTAGCAACCCCAGGGCAACAAGACCACTTTACCAATAGTTCCAGCAAAAACCCTGAGGGACATTCTCATTGGTTACCCACATATCCCTGAACTGTTACAGGGCTATTGGGGGTGTCGTGCTCTGACAGTACTTGGTCATGTGCCCATCCCAGGTGATGGAATCCGTTTCATCCAACCAAATGAACAGTGTGTGTGTGCATTGAGGGGTGGAGGGTAGAGTTAAGGCTGAGAATGGAGGCAGGGATAGCTTGCTTAAAATAACTTGTTTAAAAAGAGATAGAGTGGTTATTAGAAAAGCAAACACAATAAATTTCCTCTACATAAAATCTATGGTGCTATTTCTTAGTTTGCAGATAACATTGAGTTCTAGATCGTGAAAATCAAATCACAGAAATAAAATTATCAAGAAAAAACATAAAGTGAAAAGCTTCTAAATGAGCAAGAAAGAAACAGTAATCATTCCAAAATAACCTACATTATATTTATTTAAGATATTTAAAATATGAGATAAGATATGAGAGTCATTATCTTTATTTCAATGAATATTTTTACATATTATGATACTGGACATATCATGTTAATTAACCAAACAAAATGGAAATGGTTTCACTTTTTCCCATCAAATTATAGACACAATAGTATTATAGGAGCTTCTGATTACTGATCTTTGAAGAAGTCATAGTGGAGCCAGAGGAAGGCTGCAAAGGGCAATTAAGATGGTTATGTCTTTGTAGAAATTCCTAAATTAGGTTTATTGAGAAGCCAATTGATAAACCTCTTAATTCTGAAATGATAGGACCTATGGGTTTAAAAACATGTATAAATTTATTTGTAGAATTGGTAGAATAATTCTGAGAACATTATAAATGTGAATTTTCCATGAAATTTATGTTCTGAATAAAGAGTATTGTAGTGTTCAGAACATAAATTCCAAAGAGAGATACAAAGATTCGACTAGCTCTAAATATATTTTAAATAACAAATGGGTATATATAGAATTATTGTATTTGGCTTTAAGTTATATATACCTATATTCATTTATGTATATTTGTATATATTATGAATACAATACTGCATCAAATATAGTGAATATTATTTATTGGTAGGATTTGGTACAATTTTAGTTTCCTTAGTTGGATTTTTTATGATTTCTAGAATGAATGTATATTATTTTTAAATGGGAAAAGAAATAAAAAAGTTTACTTAAAGAGAAAAAAATTAACATAAAAGGAAATTAGCATTGTTCTTTGACGTGATGTCATTGTGGTCTTTCTCACAGTTTTTCTTCTATATATATCCTTGTATATCTCAGGTACAGTATTGGATTAGATGGACCATTGGTCTCAAATAATGTGGTTTTTTTCTTATTATTAATCAAATACATTTTTGCAGCATTATGCCAGGGTGATATGAATTTAATCATACTTGCTGATACCTATCTTACTAAATTGTTTTTATTCTTTTTAAGAATGCACCTTTCAAGAAGAAGGTTCTGATTCAGAAAATAATATGAGTCAAGTATCTAGCTTGGTGGAAGCCATCTTTAAAGTACTATACTATTGCAATCTTTCTCCACAAACATTTGGAAATGTTTTTGTGAGCTACATGGAAGAAGAACAATTATGGGACTTTTTATATCACATTCCAGGTATGAGAAATTTATAATTTTAAAAGAAGCATTGTAAAGATAGCTAAATGTATCATTAAAAGTATTTTAAAAGTTTTATCGATATCAGTTTTGCTGGGTCTGTTACTTGTAAAAGTTTACCTTATTTTTTCTTCAGTATAAAGGCTTCTTTTGGAAGTCATTAGCCATTAGTTCCCATCAAAATTTAGTACACTTGGGACAAACAAGGTGAAGAGGAGGTTGAGGGGGAAAATTATGTAACTCAGATTTTACTTATAAATATTTTGGAAGTGTTCTCTCATAAAAAAATTTAATTTAATATTTGCCAGAGATTATGTTTTGCTATCGAACATAAGGACATTAATAAGATGTGATAAAATATATTGTGATTCATGGGTGCATTTATTTAATGAACTGATGGACAAAACTACTGGTCAATTTTCTTCAAATGTAGGAGGGATTTATTATGATGACCTTGGTGCCTCTCTCTGCAAGGCATCCTGTCATTCCTTTGGGGACAATATGTTTTCCCATGTGTATTGTTCTGCCTCCAGCTAGAGCAGATGTTAACTACAGAGCAGGTTCCCTGTTGGAAGAGGAAGTGTTCATGGATAGCCCCACATTCAGGACGAGGTATAAAGACTGTTTTTCTACCTTTAAATCCCCATATTTAATATCCTGGGAAAACAACGGATGAGAACTTAGTGGTTATCCTGTTAGCCCATTAACGATTTACATCATTTACACTAGGCTTTCAACCTATAAGCTTTCTCATACAGTGTTTTGGAACCGCCATTTTCATAAAGTATTTCCTAGAATCCATATTTTAAAACTTTAACTGGCTCATAATCATGGTTTCATTCTTTTGACTATCTTTTAGACTCAACTTGAATGTCTTTTTATCTATTTTAAAGTCATATTACATCTTCTCTTGTTCATTTTCTCTGCAAAATAGCAATAGATAACTATGTAATAACTATGTAATGATCAACTGATCACATAAAGATTCCATAATAATTATCTCCTATTAAAGTTATATCTTCCAGTTTTCTTTATTTTAAATGTTTGAATCATGTTTATTCTATTACAGTTGTCTCAATTTTTCCCCCTTTACTACCCTCCACCCATCCCACCCCGACCACCTCCTCACACATTCAATTCCCACTCTTGTCCGTGTCCATGGATCATTCGTACATGTTCTTTGTCTAGTCCCTTCCCCTTCTTTCCCCCACTGTCCTCTTTCCCCATCCCCTCTGGTCACTTTCAGTCTATTCCATGTTTCCATTCCTGTGGTTTATTTTCTTCTTTAGTTTATTTTTTTTTTACTAGATTCCACTTACCGGTGAGATCATATGGTATTTGTTTTCATCAACTGGCTTATTTCACTTAGCTTAATATTCTCTAGTTCTATCCATGTTGTTGCAAAAGGTAGCATTTCCATCTTTCTTTCTTTCTTTCTTTCTTTCTTTCTTTCTTTCTTTCTTTCTTTCTTTCTTTCTTTCTTTCAAGTGCAGATTGATTTTATTTACTTTTTAATGTCAAAGTCAGTTGTAAAATATTAAAAAATTTAAAACCATTATAAAATGTCAGCAATTAAAACATGACACCAGCACAGAAATAATCAAGTAGATCAATGAAATATAATGAGCATTCTAGAAACAAATGTATATATCTGTCTAACAATGTAATATATGATTAAATTGATATTTCAAATCAATGGGTAAAATAAGGCTTATTCAACAAATAAGGTGCATGGACCACTATTACTTGAAATAAAACAAATAGAGAGCCTTATTTCACACATTATACAAAAAATATTCAGGTTGGTTAAAAATCAGTATGTAGAATCTAAGGAGTTTTCAGAGAAAATACAAAATAATATTTTTCTTACCCTGAAATAAAATATTCAAGCCCAGAAGCTATAAAGTAAAATATTGACAATATGACTATATGAAATATTTAAGACTATATAGTAATATACATATTTTAAAAAGTTAAAGGACAAGTAATAGAATGGGAAAATATTTGCAACACATATAAAAAAGGATTAATAGTTTGTTTTTTTTTTAGGGAAAAAATTCTATAAACCTTTAATCAATAAATGGATAAAGAATATGAAAAAGTCATTTATAATAGAAATATGCAAGAAATATACAAAAACAGGTTTAGTTTCAACAAATAGTAAAGGAACAATTAAAATAACATCATTGTCACAATCAGATTAATACAATTTAAAAAATATTGGCAATATCAAGTATTGGCAACTGTGAAAGGAACTGGGTATTCATAAATTCTTTTTCTTCATCTTAAAGCAGTCCTTTTAGCCTATTTTGCAGTGCTGGTTTGGTGGAGGTTATTCTTTTAGCCATCTTTTGTATGGGAAACTCCTTATTTTGCCATCCATTTTAATTGAGAGCCTTGCTGGGTAGAGCAGTCTTAGTTGCAGGCCTTTGCTTTTCATGACTTGGAATATTTCTTGCCTCTCCCTTCTGGCTTGCAGTGTTTCTGTTGAGAACTCAGCTGCTAGCCATATCAGGGCTCCCTTATATGTTCCTACCTGTTTCTCCCTTGCTGCCGTTAGGATTCTCTGTTTGTCTTTGATATTTGCCATTTTAATGATGATGTGTCTTGGAGTGGGCTTCATTGGGTTCCAGTGGCACAATCGGTTAGCATGCGGTACTTATACAGTTTTCATACAATCTCTCATTGCTCCTTCTTTAATCAAAGAAGGGTAATTTTCTAGTTAAGTAGAATGAATTACTTCTGATGTCGACTTGACTAAAAGAAAAACAACTTTGAAAGCCTCTTCATTCTCTGCTAGTTTTGGTTGCTTCTGCTGAAGTAAGAGCTGAATTCTCACAAGATTGTAAAGAACTGGTGACTCACATGCTTCAACCATTATTTTCCTGCAACTCTTAAGTTCTTGAACCATTTGACACTCAGCACAATACTGTACTGAAAATGACCTAGAAAATATCAAGAGACTTCAGGTGCTGGCATGGGAAAGCAAAACTACTACTCAATCTTAACTAGTCTTCTCTCTACACATTGAGCAAATCCTCCTCCATATGGTCAGACAAGTCTCCTTAGACAGATATTATATATATTCATAGAGCCCAAATTATGTAAGGAGTCTAAAGGGGGCAAAACTTCAAATTGGTGAAACATCCTTGGTCTTTATACAAATTGTTTTTACATGTATATGTGTATGTATGTATATGGTTGCTCCAGGGTTTACAATATGTGTATTTAACTAATCAGTTTACCTTTTAATAATATTATAGCACTTCACATCTAATGTAAGAACTTTACAATGGAATATTTCCATTTATTCCCACCTATCCTTTATGCTAGGGTTGGCATGGATGTTATTTTTACTAATGTTATAAACCCCACAATTCATTGTTTTATTTTTGTTTCAGTAGATTATATTTTAAAGAAATTAAAAATGAAAAGAAAGTTTTTGCATTTATTCATATATTTATCATTTCTGATACTCTTCTCTTATTGGTATAGATCTGAGTTTCTAAGAGGTATCATTTTCCTTCTAACTGAAATACTTCCTTTAACATTTCTTGTATTGCGAATCATCTGCCATCAAGTTATTTTAGCTTTTGATTGCATGAAATAAGTACTTTGCCTTTATATTTGAAATATTCTTATTAGAATAGAATTCTGGGTTCAGAGATTCTTTTGTTCTTTTCCTTTTTCATTCAGCACCTTAAAGATGTTATTCTGTTATCCTCTGGCTCATATTGTTCCTGATGATAAATCAGTTAATATTAAAAATGTTTTCTTTTATGTAATGTGTCTTCTTTTTATGGTTGATTTTTAATATTCGCATCTTTAGCACTACTTTCCAACAATTTGATTTCATTGTACTTTGTTAGTTGTCTTTGTATTCACTCTGCTCAGGGTTTGCTGAGCTTCTGGGATCTGAGGATATTTAGTTTTTATCATATTTGGAAACATTTCAGCCATTCTTTCTTGGGATAGTTTATCTTTTGTCCCCTTTACCACTACTTTTTTCTGGGACTCCCATTCCATGAATACTAGACCTTTTGGTATTTTCACATATCACTGAAGCTGTATTCTTTTTGGATTTCTTTGGTTATTGTTGTTTTTCTGTTTTTAACCTTCTTTTTCTTTGCATTTTGGTTTGGATACTTTCTGTTATATCAATTCAGTGGTTTTTATTTCTTCAGTTTCTAAATTGCTATTCAGACCATCCCATAATTTTTATTCCAGGTATTTTTAATTTGTAATAATTCCATGTAGTTCCTTTTTATATTTTGAATATCTCTCCTCATGTTCAAATCCTTGTTTGTACATGTCCATGAAGTCTATTTTAAACCCTTGTTCCTCATGTTATCACTGTCATTTTGGGGTAGGTTTCTATTGACTGGTTTTTCTTCTGATTATAGATTACAATTTTTTTGTTTTTTCCATGTCTATTAACTTTTGATTGGATATCAGATGTTATGAGTGTTATGTTGTTAAGTATATGGATTTTTCATCCTTTACAGATTTTATTTTCACAAATAGTTGTGCTACTTGTAGATTTTCTAATATGAACCACCTTTGCATATATTGGATAAATTCCACTTCATTATGATGCATAATTCTTATTCTAGATTTTTGGATTCAATTTTCTAATATTTTAGATTTTTCCATCTATGTTAATGACATTATTCTATAGTTTTCTTGTAATGTCTTTTTCTGGTTTTGGTATTCAGGTAATGTTGGCCTCAGAATGAGTTAGGAAGCAGTCTCTCTCTTTCTATGTTCTGAAAGAGACTGAAGAGAATTGGTGTAATTTCTTCCTTAAATGTTTGGTAGAATTCACCAATGAACTCATCAGGGCCTGGCGCTTTCTGTTTGGAATGTTATTAATTATTGATTCAATTTCTTTAATAGGTATAGGCCTACGTGAACTGTCTCTTCTTGTTGAGTTTTGGCAGATTGTCTTTCAAAGAATTGGTCCATTTTATCTAGGATATCAAATCTGTTGGCATAGAGTT